CAAAGCACGACTAAAAAGCATACCCCGCACAAACCAGACGAAAACAACAAAGCACAACAAAAATGAAACTAGATAAGGACCTATTAGTCTCTCATTTAAAACAGTGGCATAATCCAACCAACATCAATTTTAGTCTTAACAAATTGATGAACAACATGTTTCGTCTGACGATACCTCATTTATTTTCGCGTCTGTCAGACTTGTTTTGGCGACTTCAGGATTGTAGCATGTCGTTTATTTTTCATATTACATTTCACATGTACAATGAACCGAACTAAAAAAAAGAGCATAAGATAAATTATGAAAAGTGATATATACATTAATGACAATAGTCTTGAGGTGCAGGTCCAGCAGTATGTTTATGTAACTTTTTTTTCTAGACAATGGCGTTGAGGAAAATATTCTGTCAGTAATTAAACGTTTAATCGAAGGCCAGGTTGAAAGCGTCTAAAGACTTCAAACTGAAAAACTGTAATTTGGTCGTTTCTATTTCTGGCCCCCCCCCCCAATTTCCGCCGTTTCTTGTCGTCAGATTGGTTTCGGTTATTGTTTCATTTGATATAGACGAGTACCATGCACATCATGTCATTATGAAAGAGTGTTTGAATCTTTTTGCGGTCTGTGATGGATTAAGACTCGATTTTTAGTATTTGTCTCGACAGGTTGTGTTGTGTGGTTGTGCAGTGTTTTCGATTGAGTAAATGAGGCGTGTGAGTTGTTGATTTGTGTGGCCATAAGTTCATACAATTGCGGATCCAGGGTAAATAAATCATATAGGACGATTTGGGGAAAACGACGGAAAATCATACAATACGACTCACTTCAATCAAAACCACCACGAACCCTCAACAATACAAAGCGAGTTAATATTGTGGGTTTTCTCCTTGAAGCCTGAAGGGGTGATGGACACGTTAATCGTTTCCGAAAATTATGGTCTGAGGACTTTCGCTGGTTTGGTCTGTCAGAAGCGTTTTGGCGTCATCAGTGGTGTTTTTTTAGATATACATTGTGAAAGTGATCTTTGTCTATCTTAAGCAGTTTAAGTCCCATTTTTTGTTTGCTCCAGTCATCGTGAAAGTACGTTTTTTGCTTTTTAACCACTGTAAACGATTCTTAGTAATCATGATTTTTGTATTATGAATTTCTTCATACTCAATATGTTGTTATTGTACTTAAGTAGTTCATTTTTCTGAGATTTTGTATTATCGGGTTGTAAAGTAAATCCATTTCAAAAATAAATGAGCCTTTTTGTTCCATTACTTGATGCCACCTTCTATGTAATTTGTGAACCCATCCTACCAGAATTTCTCAGGTTTTTGAGCGATGAACTCTGTCTTTTCCTTACACCTGGAGTGAAGTGTATTAAAAAAGTATTCCAAAGCCCGGAATAAAAGAAAGACTGAAGAGTAATTTTAAGCTTGCCCCTATTGTTACTCTTCCATTTATATTGGGTTAGTTGCTGGTTGGTCAATGGCGCTGCTTTCAACTTCCTCGTCATGTGTTTGATTGTTAACATTTTGTTTATATGTGGGAGGTTTGAATCAACTCTTATTAGGTTTTCTGTTGCTGTTGAGTCTCTGCATGTGTCGAACTGGAATCTCTTGTTAGTTTTTATAAAAGTTCATTTAAACATGTTCTGTTCAGTTTCTGCAGTGATGCTATGTTTTTACGTAAGGAGGTGAGGTCTGTTTTGTTGTCTATGCGTTGTAGTTGGTGTCTACTATGGTAAGCATGTATACACATCAACTTATCTGCGTACATGTTTCATGTTGTGTCATTTTTATTGTTTGTATCTCGTGAATGCGTTGCTCGTTGGTTAATAGTACTGTTTTCAGTCTCTTCGTCATTTATTTGCTTTGTAACAGTATGTTTATGTGTGACTGGTTTGAGTCAGCTCTTATGATATGTTGCTGTTGGTGCTCTGCAAGTGTCGAACCGGAATCTCTTGTAAATTTTGGAAAAAGTTAATGTAAACTTCTCGGTTGTTAAACATTTATATATTTTCTGAACATTGTTTTTATGTGAATGAGAGGTCAGTTATGTTGTCTTTTTTTTTCGAGGTTTGGTGTATTTTTATGGCGGAACTCTTATCACCAAACGTTGAATATCAATGAAGTCTTTAGTTCTAACTGATTTTCCAAAATCATTTGGAACTAAAGGCTTCATCGATGTTGAACCTTTCATGTTACGGTGTCTATATTAGCGTTGTAGTTGGTGCCTGGTGCGAGTATGTACGTAATTAACTTATCTGTATATATGTTTCATGTTGTGTTTTGCCAATATTTAGAGAAAGTATTTATTTTCAAAGTTTCCCAGAATACTTCCGCATGTCCATGGATAATTTTTATATTGCTACAGAAACAGGCGGAAAATGGATAACCTAGTAATATCCTAGCACATGGCCTCATCAACACGTTGACACTCATAATATGTGTTCTCCGGCTATCAAATCTACTGTTTAAACCATAAATTTTTATCCCCCATTGACAAACAGATTTTTTTTTCTGAACTCAGCCGGCAATGTTAAGCCCAAATGATAATGAAGTTCTGTGAGGACTTCCGTCGACTCCTGTTTTGTTACCGCAAGAATTAGCCGTTTCAAATAAGTCAATACTTTGTCCAAGCTCAACCTCAACAAATAATAAAGCCAGGGTTTACTTAATAAAACTTCGTGTTTTAATCAGGCAATTCGAACTTTAACGTAAACACAAAACCTCAACTATCGATATTCAACCTACTTGACAATATATGTTCAAAGTGCTGGAAAATTTATTTGGTCATCGACACTGCAAGTAGAACTGTGTTGCGAAATATGAAAATCGGTGGAGAGAAGGGCTATATAATGTTTGAACCAAGTCAAGGAGGGTTATCGATCTTTCTGTTGTGTCACATGCAACAAAGCATTGGAAGCAGCCTTTGAGGTCCGTCATTTTCTCGATGGATCGCCCAAGGTAAAAACTCAATTTTTTTTTTAATTGACTATATTCCAAAACGCTGAGAGGAAAAATTTATTGATTATGCCGTATATTGATATTTATTTTTTAACACTGCAGTTCCAAATATGATATTTTTTTACTGTATTTACTCGTTAAAAATCAATTTGTAAAACAAATACATAGATCAACAACTGCTAACGGTTGAATTATTTTTGGAGTAAATGTAAAGCTAATTTGTCGGAAAAATCATTTAGAGTGGATTCATTGCGATGCCGACAGTCAATAATGAAGCAGCACATTAATTAATTTGAAATTACCAAATGATAAACAAAGTCACGAAATGTCAAAGAGATTAATTATTTTCGAAAATATGAAATTTTCTGATTTTTTTTATAATTACTGATGGGAGAAATACATCAATGATGATACCCTTTGAGTAATTATTAAATATTTTTGTAGTTTAAAACGTATTACAAAAAATTAGTTTTATAATAAATAAATTAAACATTTTTTTCTTGACTTTTGCAACTTTCAAGACATTTAAACTTAAATCAATTGAACAACTGAATGATTTGTTTTATCTCCCCAGATCTCATGAGTATCAACCTAGCGATATACGTCTTCCGAATAAATGAGCTTTTTAAAAATCTCCTCATACGTACCTGATATCCAGGCTTACTTTGACCTATTTATGAAAAAGTATGTTCGGATGTGTCCGCAAGATCGTTTGCAATAATTAACCTTACAATTTAATCCATTTATGACCTACCAACAAATGGCATCAAGCAAGGATATATAGGTCAATTTAAAAAAGAAACAATAATTCAACTTATGATTTCAATTTAGCTAGTGATCCCTGAAGAGGGACCAGGAACGTGGCCTGAAATACATTACCGACTGAAATATATTGCATAAAAATAAATTGGTGTGTTTAGTTTTAAAAAACCAACATTAGAGTATTTAATCTATAGTATAGTATCAAAATATATAGTATATATTACAAAGAAGAAAATTTGAGAATTTAAATATTTAATATATCCTCAGATTGAGTCGGCTGTATGTGCGGTGACCGCTTTTCGCCCCTTTCCGTAACTGTTATCGTAACCTTTATGGAACGGATGCCACATAGACGTCACTATAAAGTACTACGTCCGATAAAACCCACGTCCCGACGACCCGAAGAATATTTTAATCCGGCCAATCTCTTATCCCTTTACGAGAAGCGGTGCAAAACGGGCGTATAAATATTAATATGCTAGACGGTAAAAGAAACGACCCGCGAGGTTGCATTGATGATGCCGATTGACGACCAGTACAAATGTATAAAGACGTAAATTCCTATTTAGCAAAAAATTATCCCCGACATGAAATCATTAAAGAACCGCCGGAAATAAGGAAGGTGGGAAATTATGAAGAGAAAATAATCAATGATGATCGTAGTATAGTCAACGTGCAGATAAGCAGCCAAGAACGTATTGAAAATAAAAATACGTTCTATATTGAGAACCTCATAAATAGGATTTACAAGGTCTTGTTAAAACCATGGTGTATGCTGGAGAAAAGAATTTTCAGGGAGGTTAACCGGCTACTATTCAAAAAAGAATATGTATAAATGGATTTTATTTTCTTTATAAAACCTTTTTTGATTATATAAATTTTCTACTTTCAAAGTGAAAGTTGGGTTGAAAATCGGTCTGGTCTATATAAAATCAAATCTTCGATTAAATATACGAAAGAGGAAAAGGCTATATTGTTATTACTAGATTGTTTGAAGGCAAGAGACATTGATGATTATTGTTTAAAAAATAGGTCAACATTTATTTCATTTCAGCCAGTTGACTCGTGATAATCTCGACTCGTAGTGCCGGTTTGAAATCGAGGGAAGAATGGTTTCGAGGCCGGGCCTGGAGTCGATTATTTTTTAAAATGTTAGCGTGCACGACCGTGGCGATGGCGAGTTGAGTGCGACATGCGTGGCAAACCGTAACGGTCCCGCCAGTTCGATACGCCGGTCTTAAATAATAATAAATTCAATAATGAATTTGCCCTAGGGCTTCAACTCACATTGTATGTTTTTCGCTTTTGCGATCCCCTGGGAAGCGGCGAGAGCGAAGAGGACGAAGACGAGGGTGGAGAAGCAGCGGCCGCTCGCCGCCCGCTGGGGCATCCCTCCTAACTCCGGACACTAGACACACATGCCCGTTTCGAACAATGGAGTCGACAACGTCATGTTTTCTCTTCGCCTTCAGACATGGCTATGGCGGGACCGGCCTCCTGTTTAACCCTCTTATATTGATCGCCTCCCGTCGACAGTGCGCAATCGCCCACCCCCTGTCAAAAAATCTCTGCCTTTTTCCTTATCCACTCTCCGCCGACCGACCCTTTCTCAGACGACTGCCCCACGAATTAGCAGTCGCTAACTATTCGGTTTCCTGCAGAGACCGACTGGTCGACTTTGTCCATCGTACCCAGCCCTTCTGCTCGACTCTTCTTCCTGTTAGGACGCCGACTTCCTTGATATGGCCTCAATAGCAAAGTGGGAGGTTCGGTCGGGATTGGTTTCGTCTGCGTAGGCATTTTTGTCAGTTTGGCCCTAGATTGTTGGCCGGACTTTGTGTGAGTGGGTGGGAATGAGTGAGTGGGTGGATGTGGGTGTTTATAAACACAGTCTTTAACAGACTTTATTAATAACTTGTCATCGGTAAGCCTACCTAAACAATGAAAATGACATAATTTTCTAAAGACAAAGCAACATGTCAACTAGAGAAAACTCATTTTACATCACTACCAGTAAATTATCTATTACAGGTATAATGAAACCTCTAGTTAAAGGTCAGTGGTGCGACTATTTTAGTCCCCTTTTAGAAGTGTCCTCTAAAGATAGATTTTTCACCTGATAACACTTAGCTATAATACTAATAATAGTGGTGCTTTATTTATTATTTATACTTTTTACTATATTTTACACGTTTTTTTTTTTTTTTTTTTTTTTTTTTTGTATGCTATTACAGCATGGAAAGTCCGTCTGCCGGAAGTCAACCAAAAAAGAAAGAATAAATAAGAAAAATTCAGGATTTGTTGATTGTAAGGAAAGCAATGAAAATATCATTGTATATATAATTATGAACTAAGCTATTACCATTTTATATTTGAAAAAATTATCTTACATTAAAAACGTGCATAAATATATAAAAATAAACATTTATATAAGTATACATAAATATGTATATAATGAATTAATCTTTATGTAAGATATTGGTTGAGATAAAAAGTCAGTGCCACGAGCGGGATTCGAACCCACGACCTTCGGCTAAATACGCAGCTGCTCTACCACTTGTGCTATCGTGACTTCGATCCACTCGGACACTAACTTCCCATCTCATCCCTCCTTTCGAATTTTCCCTCTCAACCAATACTTTACATAAAGATTAATTAATTTAGTTATTTGGTCAATCGGACCAAAAACTCTAATTGATAAAAAATAAACTTATATCTTCCTACTTATCGAGAAACTTGATTTTAAAAGTTGAAATGCTGTACACTAATTCGTATCTGTTAAACCATGCTTCACGTGAGTACTTAGCAAGAGAGTGACTTTGATGATTTATCGAGTTCAGTAGGCAAAGCAGCCGAGCTCTGGTCATCATCGTTGGCTGTCTTAGATACAAAAGACGAAACACGGCCAGCACAGTGCACTCAGCGACAAAATGGAAAAAGTCCTCTTTTTTTGAGTAACATAACGAACATTGTTGCCTTCCAACCTCCCTCCATGGAACACAATTTAAATTCAATTGCTCATAGTAGTTAGTTTTAGTGCTTAGTTTTAGCAGCAGCGAAGGTCAAGTAGTCTAAGGGTGTGGTTACTACTTTGAGCAATGACTCAAATCTTTTTAAAACAAAAAGCGGTCCGATGAACTTGCTTGATGTAAACAGGCTTCTGGTAACTTAGTTATCTATATGTATATACATACTACATGTGAGGGGTAGATTTAGAAATATTTTTCCAAAGACTTTTCTTTAAAGATAAGGTTTAATATATCAGAAAAGGCTTCAGCCAGCTGGCAGTTGTAATTTTTTTGTACTCTTCTGTTTGTCACAACTGCATTCTTTGATGCAAATTACATCAATATGAAGAGTTAGATGGACTCCATTCTAGGATGGCGATGTCAAGTAGTGAGGTTCTCGCGGGGCCAGCTAAGCTTTAGCCTCCTGTGGGGATTAATCGGTAACGTGGTGGATGACAAGTTTTTGGCGAAAGGGTCAGTTTCAGGATAGATTAGAATGAACTGCTTTTGATTTATGCAACAGTGATGACTTCGCAAAAACATTATTATCTCATGAAATACCGCTATACATCTATACAAGGGTCAGAAGAACCAATCTTTATAAACAAAACAAAACTATTGGAAAACTGCTCAAATAATCAGGCCGAGCTGCTGACGCGTCTGAAAGCGTTGAAATGGTTGCTAATAAAAGAAGAGGAAAAAAGAACAAAACAGTCCGAATTTTGACTGATAGCCAAGTTTCATTGCCAGCAATAAAAAATTATAGAAACCATTTTCCATTCAGGAAGAACATGTACGAATTAATAAAACATGGATGGAAAATACATCCAGGGTAAAAGGGCACGCAGGAAATGGTCGTAACGAAATGCTGATCAAAAAGCTAAAGAAGCGACTACGGATGATATGTTGACACCTGAGATGGAAAGAAAGCCTATTTCTGCACTAAAGAAACAAATTAGAAAAAGGACAATCGCAAAATGGAATCAAGAATGGGTAAGAAAAAACTACACCCGTGCTAATAACACATTTTCCCGAAGGGAGCTGGAACGGGAAGTAGACGGATATCCCAGCATAAAAAAAGACAATGCACTTGGAAGAGTACATAACGTTCACCCAAATCAATCAAAGCGTTTCTATCCCAGAATTCTTTTATAGCATATTCGTGGGCTTACTTTTTTTCAACATTGGAACACGATAAATGGCGAAATAGAGGAAACTTATCAAACAGCTTGAAAGAATACGGTCTTTTAGAAGATGATGAAAATTGGGAAAATGCCCATGAGATGATTTCCCAATCGGGCTTTCAATTGAGAGAATTATTTGTATTCCCTATTTAACTGTCTTTTCCTATAACGATTAAGGACAAACGAATAAATAAATGTGGTTAGATTTGTGGAAAGAATGTTTATCACACGGACAGTTATATGTCGGTTTCTTAAGAACCAAATTAATAAATGAAGTTCCTGTACAAATAAAAAATTTGCACTTAATCATTCAAATTTTCATACTACCCGAGCGAAGCTGGGGCGATAGCTAGTCCAAATAAAATAAGATTGGTTTTGGAGGAAAGTCAATCCATTCGCAGAAACATTCCAATTCAATTAATCAATATTTGTAAGCATAATTAGAAGTCGTGTTAATACTCAGAGCTTCCTTAGTATTACGCTACCTAAGAAAAATGGCAATGTTAGCCTGCCTCCTATTCAGACTTTTTCTTTTACAGAGTAGGACGAGAGGATAGTGTCATTGTCCTTTATAGTCCTTTAGAGTGTCCCCTAAGTAAAGGTGTTAAATACATAGACGTGAATCTTCCACACCTGTGCATCTGTAACTGACCCATAAATGGAGGTGTCCCTTAAACAAAGGAGTCCCTTAGCGGAGGTTTCATTGTATAGGCCTTAGTCCTAAAATTAACTTCACACTGTAGTACAATTGACTTTAGGATGGCTTGAAGTCCTCGTCGTTTTTAAGAGTAGTCGTGTCAAATACATAAAAAATTATGTCCGTGGATTCCATCTATAACTGTCCTGTAAACGTACTGCCTTTCTATGTTATCGAAAATTTGTCGTTATGATGGTGATGGTAATGAGGATACGAGGAAACCGGGTTTGTGTTCCCTTCTGGCTTATAGTTTGTTCCTAGTAAGCTAGTTCAGTGCAAAAGACTCAGCCCGTCTTCTTAAAAGTATCAGGCCATTGACTGTCACTGCTACAATTTGATTCCCTAGGTTTTTTCCGTATGTTAGGTTAAATTGAGCCGTTGCTTCCCATTCGAAGATGATATGGATGGCTGTTTCCTCCCCCTCATTGTATAATCTGCAGTTGGGATCATCGTTACATATGCCCATGTTGTGAAGATGTTATCTCAGATGCCAGTGACCGGTTTTATCAGTTCTATCATTCCTCTAAGTCTAGCCCTCTCCAATTGCAGCAGTGAGTTTGCCAGTTGTTTAATCATAAGTTTACTGTGACTAGTGCTTTAGAGTTTATCCACTTCTTATTTTGTTTTATTTGGATTCATTTTGCGATGGAGGATTCTATGTTTGTTTTTGTTATCCCAATTCAGGGCTATGTCATGAATGATACGTCTTGCAGATCCTCCTGTGGCCAGTGTGTCTGCTTTTTCGTTACCCAAAATTCCTTTGTGTCCTGGCATCCAAGACGTCATCAGGTCGTTGTTTCCCCAGGTTGGAGTTTTGAATACATTCACTGACTAATTTTGATGTGTTGTTTTTACGTGATGCATTAACCTGCTTGGCTACCAGATCTTATGAGGATTTTTTGCCATAATAACATCTTTTATGATTTTCTAGAGCACATACGTTTGATGTATTTCTGCTTGAAAGACCGAAGTGTACTTTCCTAATTTGATTGCTCATATCTTGGTCTTGCACAAAAACTACCAATCCGGTTCCTTTGTTTGTTTTGGAGCCATCCGTATACCATGTCATTGTATCTGATGCTCTCCTGAGTTCTTCCTCTTCTTTATATTCCGTTGAGGCTTTATAGGATATTGTAAAGAATGTTTCCGGGATTATATAGTCAGTCCCCATTTCTAAGAATGGATGTCTGATTTTATTAATTATGGTTGTGTGCCCGAATTGTTTAGTTCTTATCCAATTGGATTGTTTTTGGAGCCTAATGAGCTTTTCCTTGCCTCTCCTTGTACAAATGTTTCTAGAGGAGGTAGGTTTACAGAGTTTCTAGTGCACTGGTAGGGTTGTTCTCATTGTCCCATTCTAGTAATAATCTTTAACTAGAAAAATTGGTTCTTCACATTTTCACATCTTATCTCATTCGAAGTTTGCCCGTTTCAAAAACCCAAATACATAACCCCGTGTCGAGTTCAACAGCGTTCACCAACTCTCATCATCCAACTTCACCCATATAAAAAAGACAGGCCAGGCCAAATGATCGGTAACTAACTAGACAAACAACTACAAACTGTAGATTGTATATAATATAGATTTAAATAAATTCAAACTATTTTCTTCTTGAGCTCTTCGAGGCGATGAACCAGTCAGTAGTTTGGTTATTTCTTTCAATTTTAACCTGCCTGTTTGGTGCGTCAGAAGCCTCGGAAATTCACCGTTCTTCTATTGGGAGTTCAAGTGACTGAGTTGTTGTTATTACCAGAAGAAAGACGTCGGTCCATGGCCCATGGAGAATGGTTCGAAAAGGGAAAAGGCCATATTGACAAGACTACGCATAAACCAGAAAAGAATAACGCACGGGAACCTGCTGGCCGGAAAGGGACCATGTAGGTGCCCGTTATGCAAGGATAGAATATGGCTTGACGTATAACACAATATTTTGGTATATCATCGGACCTGTGCGTAGTCTTGGGGGACGGCAGGGGGCACACGTTCCGGTACTTCAGGGCTATAGGGATTTTTAAATGTATATAGTGGTTTTTATGTGTTTGTGTTGTGTCATGTTGACTTTATGTTAATTTAATGGAATGAATGTAATTTATTAACGTGAAAGGAAGGGGGTTATTACATTTATTTATTTGGAATATCGAGTTCTCTGGGGTGAGTGTGTGACGTCTGGAGAATAAAAGTGAGTTATTAGCGAGAATGGAATGGGTTCAACCCCGCTCCGAGGAATATCGAGTACACTGGGGGAGTGAATGTAACCAGACATTTATGTTTGTAGTGATGTATATATATGTATTGTATGTTTTTGTTTCTATTCTGTATTTGACAGCCTGAGTTAAGTTTAAAAGTTTATAAGTTGAAGTTTAGAACAAAATATGTGCGAAAGAAGAGAAAAAGAAGGAAAACATGCAGAGGGCCGGCGATGACCTCAGCTGTTTGTCGGCCCATAAACTTCCCTCTTTATATATATTATTGCCAGTAAGTAGCATTATTGGCGTTCAGAAAATAACAAATAACTGGCATTACTCATTACAAACGTTTTCATCGATATAAGCAACAAGCTCATAAATTAATACATAATTGGATTTGTAATTGTAATTTTCGTTTACAAACAACAAGTGTGCTAACTTTTGGTCCTACCTCAAAGCTAATATTTACTGTTATTTATAGGTATTAAAATTTTACTGGCAATTAAGTACCAAGATACAATTAAAAGTTAGCTGAAAAAATCATTTATGTTTTAAAAAACTGAATGAAAACACATAATGAATAGGCAAAATGATAGGGTGGTATATCTTTTTGTCCCGGACCATAGGTAATACCTTGACCAAACTATTAAAGCTTGGTCAGGAGTATAAACAGATTGAGGTAAGACCACAAGCCCACCACTGAAAACGACAGACCAAACCAGGATTACCGTAAACGGCCAAACTGTAGGGCAATCTTCAGCAGACTGCAAGGAGAACTCTACATTGACTTGATTTCGTTATGAAATTACATAACTGGCTAAAATCAACACGGTGACAACGAAGAACAACAGATCCTACATCCTACAAAGAAAAACCGGGCACAAGTGATGCTATTTTTATTTATTTTTTTATTTGTTTAGAGTTCGCAACAACAGAAGTCATATGCTTCTCTAAGCAAGCTATTCTCTCAAAGCTCTAACTACATGCTCTCTTCTCCTCTACACAGAATGATGATCAAGAGTAACAAAATCTGCAATAGCATTGACTTCTTCAATAGTTCTGTGCAATCTGTGAAAAACCTTATCCTACAACCTTAGTTGAATGCTTTTATATTTCATACTGTACAAAATTATTACAATTTATTTCATTTACTGGTTCAACTAATTCTCGCACTCTAGTCTTTATTACCATGTATATTATTTCTTATTCTTTTTATATATATTATTTGTATTTTTACATATATTATTTATATTTTTTGTTATTGTAAATTGTCTTTTTTATAGTGGATTTCGATCCGTAAATAAATATCGATCCTCAAGGTGCCGGTGGTTTTGAAAAAAGCCCATTTCTATGTCGGGTTCGAATGCAGGGCCGCTAGATTCGAACCCGGGACCTTTACCTTACAACGCGGTGTATGTATATTGAGCGCCGTGTCAACACCTAAACCGTTGCGTCCACCGGCGCCCCCTAAGTGATGCTATTAAAACACAGAAGAGCGCAGCATGCACTTGACTGCCATGGCACATCATTCGACAAGGAAAAGACAATTATTGATTATTTCTGTGAAGACTTATATTTATGAACTAATACGACGGGTCTACTTCTTTTCTAGATGCAAGAGAATTAAGAATAAGAAAGGAAAGCAAAGATTGATTCACACAGTTTTTTTTTTTTCATTTTTCATAATGTTCTCAAAACGGTGGATTTCCTGAAAACATTGTAATTAATTTGAAATGTAATGATGTAATTTAACGCTATAATTAATCTTTATTTTTAATTTATCTCAACGAAGCGATCAATGCATGGGCCCTAGAAAATCTTAAAAGCAGTTACACTGACAAAAAATCCTTCTAAGATCAAATAGCCAAGCAGCTATTAAAGCATTAGCAAAAAAAAAGTCAGTGAATGCATCAAAAACCCAGGGACCCAACAACCCGATGATATCTTGGGTACAAAGGAATTAGGGTAACAAAAAGGCAGACACACTGAGTAGAGGAGGATCTGCCAAATATAAGCACTGAACCTATTCTAAGGATAACAAAAACAAACACAGAATCACCGTTACAGAATCCAAAAATGGCAAAAGGAGAAGTGTATAAACTCTAGAAGTGCTAGGCATAGTCAGCTTATGCTACAACAGCCCTCACCAAGACTGGCAAAATCACTGCTACAGTTAGAGAGGGCTAAACTGAGAGAAGTGATAGGATTATTTACTGGTCACTGGCACAAATCATGAGTCATTTCTTCAGATTTTTCTAACAAATTGCACAATGTTGAATGGAAAGATTTTTATTATTTCTTGACAGTCAGAGGGACAAAGTGTATACAGTGATTCTTCTATTAAAAAAAAAAAATCATTTCCATGAAAGAATAACAGAAAAATCACTGGTGGTTGATCATCATGGTGATAGTTGTTGTATACATCTGCCCTTAATGCTTGCTGTGCAGTAACATATCAAACATTATGTATATTTGTCATAATTTACGTGCAAAAATGTATATGTTCCCAATTTACAAATGTAATCACTATAAACCAGATTTTGTACTCACATATTTTTTAAGTAGTAATGTAAAAATAAAATATCATCAAAATGTAATACTATGAGAAATTAACACTAATTATTTTTATAAAGTAACAATGAGAATAATAATAACATATAAATCAATATCATATTAATACAATAAAATATCAATATTTATAGAATAAGCACAGAACAGGATTTACAACAGCTCCTAATGGGCGCAGTATATACAAACTCTGATTAATATGTCTACATCTACATCCAATCTAGTAATTCATCATTTTGTCCAGGGAAAAATTTATTTCCCAAGAATCAATTTAATAAAAAGCACAAAAAGAAAGAAAAATGAAATAAGACAAATAAAAAAGAGACAATAAAAATCCAAGGACTCAGTCTAGAACAATCAAGCAGCCACACTTAGCCTAGGACTCAACAAGGGGACTAAGCTGGCCTTAGTCTTAGTCATTGCGACAAATCAAATAGAGTAAACTGTCGAAGATCCAGGAACAGGAAGAAGATCCTGAAAGGCGTTAAAAGATGTGGAAGCTGGTGTTGACAAGCATCGTTTGGGGCAAGTCCTCTTGTGAATTAGCTCTTCTTCAGAGTTAGAGTTGTGGCTCCTGTCGCTTATGATCTGTTTGTGTAACAATTAATATTTACGAATATATCTTCAGGTTTATTGTATTTTGTAACCCTACCTTCTTCTACACAAAAAGTAGTTAAGTTAATATTCTCTTCTGGCAAAGTCAGCATCTGTATAACAAAACAAATTATAATTACAGAGCCAAATGCATTGTAATTTCGCTAATGAAGATGTTCAATAAAAAGGGGCTTAAGTGTGATCCCGGAGGGACTCTCTCAGGATTGTTTTCTATTGATAAAGTAGGAAGAGAACCAATTTAAAAATACTGCCATGGAAACCCCCCAAAAATTTGGCTAACAGAAGTGGGGGTTTAACATTGTCAATGCTTTGGAAAAATCAATGTAGTAATGATTTCTTCAAAAGCTCATATTCTAGTTGAAGGAGTTAAAAACGCGTCTCTCGATGACTCTATTCTTACAATTCATCCTTCTCCTCTGTGTAGTAAGAACTATCTAAAAAAGATTGAGTTTTGGTTTTCAAATTGAAGAATCATTGTAAGCCACTGGTCACTCTAATTGTCAATAAATATGATAAATTGTTATGTTAATGTGTCAACATTGCACAATTGTTGAAACATTGCAACATCTAACAATTTATCTTAATGTATTAAAATAAGATGTCAAATCGTTGCAAAATTAGATGTACTAAGTATGAATGAAAAAATAATGATTTATTTTAGCGTTTAAATTTCTACAATTTAACAAATATACATCCCTAGATGAAAATTTGAAGGTAAATTTACAAACAATTGGTTGCATAGGCAGCGATTTTCATATTGTACTTTCATGGGGTTAGATAATTCAAATCGAAACAAATAATTAATAATTTGTCCTAGTGATCACATGTCATAATTGTTAAATTTATGTATTTTATTGTCCCATGAGTAAACGGCATAAATGCCAACAAACACACCACATTTTATGAAACAAACAATACCAATACAAGTGTATAAAATTGCAACAAAATTTCACAATAAAATTCTAATAAAAATATTGTAAATGAATTGTAAAATAGATTTAGTGATTCTTTTATTTTTTTATTTTTTTATTGAAGATGACTCATGATTTGATCAGAAAGACAGGTTATTATGAGTCGATGAATTTTGATGGCAGATTATTCTGCTTTTTTGCGCCACAGTTTGAAAAGAATCCAACTAATTTCTGGGAGCTGGGTTGTAAAAGACTATGGTTACTTGTTTTTGAGATTGTATGCAGTGAGGCAAGTTGAGACAAAAGCTCATATTTATTTGTAAGAATTTCATAAGTTTCCATAAGATCGCCTTTCTTTACGATCTTGAAGGGTTTTTAAATTAGTAGTTAATTTTGATTATGCCAATCTGTTGAAGTTAAACATCGATAAACTAGTTTCATGGTGCAATGTTAATTCTCTTAAAATTGAACATTGCCCAACTCAATGTAATGAGTTATTTCAAAGGTAATAAAAAAGTTTTTTGTACAAAATTAATGGTACAGCTAATTTGGCAAACAGAAGTGGGAGTTTAACGTTGTCAATGCTTTGGAAAAAATCAGTCATCATAATGATTTCTTGTCTTAGGACACTTTTAGACAAAGGAATAACATCTAACTTCCAGAAACCAGGACTTATTTTTTCCTTGATCCAATTAACTTTTCTTTTTTTTATTATTATCTGAGAGAGAAAATCTATTTTAACATTCGTTTCGATTTTCGCTATTCATGAGTTATGATAGAGGGATTTGACGAGCCAGGGACCAATGAATGAATTATGACACTCAAGGTCCCCACTTCCGAGTGTACCTTGGTGCTGGTGCCCCAGTGGTGATGAAAAATTGAAAACCCGGTCCGAAGGACATTTGCTTCGGTAGGTTCGCACAATTGGTCAGCATTTTGTAGAAAGTTGTTACGCAATAGGACGAGAATGAATATTCCAGATTATGGTGGTGGCATGTGAGTCACCGCCCTGTTGAAAACCCGAGTGGGGCCGAGCGCCATCACCACTCTGCAGCTAGACGCGGATTCGACGCCATCGGCATCATATTCGCGATCACCAAGGTTTGTACCAATATTGTTATGTAAATATTCGCTTTTTATTAACTGTTCAACTGTGTTCATACTGTGTTTTTGTTGTTGTTGTTGAAAAACATCGAAACAAACAACACGAATTACATAAATGAATAAAACATCGAACTTTCTAGGAAGTGAATGTGAATGATCATGTCATTTGTTGATAAAACTTCGTTTAACAACAATTTTTTAAATACATTTCACTAAATATAATTTCACGATGTTTGGCTGATCATTGATTGCCGTCACCTGAAATTCTTAAATAAAAAAACATAAAAAAAGATACCTATGTTCGGCCCATATTGGATTTTTTCAAGTTTGGAGCCCCTTCTTTCAAAAAGACATTAAACTTGTAATTAAATTAAAAATATAAAATTTGGTCACATTCGATATGATGTTACGTTTAAACTAGCTTTATAATCAAGGGAAGTTAAATTGAGTAGTGTCAAAAGATGTTTATTGTTGATTTCATCTGATTTAATCCTTAATCTATATGCAATGAGTCTTAAGAACTTATTTTGAACCTTATCAATGTTATCAGAGTGTAATTCTTAATAAGTGCAAAACAGATTTTGAATTGACTGAATATCATTGCTAAAGTGCGTCTTATCTAGTCTTTGGATCGAGATACTGACAGCAATATGGCTTTTAAATGAAATAGGGCAAACAGAACACAAAGAACACTAAAACTATTGACTCTATACATGCACCATTAATTTTGTACAAAAAACTTTTTTATCACCTTCGAAATAACTCATTACATTGAGTTGGGCAATGTTCAATTTTAAGAGAATTAACATTGCACCATGAAACTAGTTTATCGATGTTTAACTTCAACAGATTGGCATAATCAAAATTAACTACTAATTTAACAACCCTTCAAGATCGAAAAGAAAGGCGATCTCATGGAAACCTATAAAATTCTTCCAAATAAATATCGGCTTTCGCCTCAACTTTTCTCACTGTATAGAACCTCAAAAACAAGTAGTCATAGCGTAAAACTTTTAAAACACAGCTCCCAGAAATCAGGTGGATTCTTTTCAAACAGCGGCGTAGAAAATTTGAATAATCTGCCATCAAAATTCATCGACTCACGGTAACCTGTCTTAATGATCAAATCATGAGTCATCTTCAATAAAAAAAATAACGAAATCTTTTTTACAATTCATTTACTATATTTTTATTAGAATTGTGAAATTTTGTTACAATTTTATACACTTGTATTGGTATTGTTTGTTTCATAATATGTTGTGTGTTCAGTGGCATTTACGCTGTTTACCCATCTGTCAACAAAATAAATTTTATAATTATGATATAAAATCAGTAAGACAAATTGTTAATTTTTTCTTTCGGTTTGAATTATCTATAAATTCCATGAAAATATATTAGAAAAATCGCTGCCTCATGAGTGGCGTTTATGGTCGAAATTTTTTTTCCTTTTATTGTTTGTGAATTTACCTACACATTTTCATCTAGGCATATATATTTGTTAAATTATAGGTATTTAATCACTAAAATAAATCATTAGTTTTTCATTCATACTTAGTACGTCTAATTTTGCAATGATTTGACAACTAACTGCATTTGTTTTCCAGGCTTATTTCAATACATTAAGATAAATTGTTAGATGTTGCAACTTTTCAACAAATTGTGCCATGTTGAAACATTAACATAACAATTTAACATATTTATTGACAATTAGAGTGATCAAAAGGCATGGAAGAATTGTAAGAGTAACGTCGTAGAGATCCTTTAATCTGATTGAGCTTTAAGAAATCCAAATAGTTGAACCTTGACACAATAGCATAACAATTTATCATATTTATTGATAATTAGAGTGACCAAGTGGCTTACAATGATTCTTCAATTAGAAAACCAAAACTCAATCTTTTTTAGATAGTTCTCACTACATGGAGGAGATGGATGAATTGCAAGAATAGAGTTGTCTAGAGAAGTGGTTGTAACTCCATCAACCTGATTATGAGTTTTAAGCTTATAATCCGATAGTTGAACCTTTTGACGCATTAACATACCAATTTCTCATTTATTGACTATTAGAGTGACCAGTGGCTTACAATGATTCTTCAATTAGAAAACCAAAACTCAATCTTTTTTAGATAGTTCTCACTACATGGAGGAGATGGATGAATTGCAAGAATAGAGTTGTCTAGAGAAGTGGTTGTAACTCCTTCAACCTGATTATGAGCTTTAAGCTTATAATCCGATAGTTGGACCTTTTGACGCGCATTAACATACCAATTTCTCATATTTATTGACTATTAGAGTGACCAGTGGCTTACAATGACTCTTTTGAAAACCAAAACTCAATCTTTTTTTTAGATAGTTCTTATTGCATAGGAGACGGATGAAATGCTTTTTTTAGATAGTTGTTATTACATAGGAGACGGATGAATTGCAAGAGTAAAATCGTCGAGAGACGTGGATGTAATTCCTTCAAACTTATTTACGAGCTTTATGCTTGTATTCGAGGTACCTAATTTTTTTGTTATTACATGTTACATTTAAAATATGACGTTATTACAAGTTAATCTTATGAGAATTATTTTTAAAACAATTATGTATGGAAAAGTGACTGTGGATCCGATCAACCGGTCACAAAAAATAATCGGAGTCAGAGTTTGTTTTCTGTTTTTCGTTTAGTTGTTTCGTATTTATCGCTACCCAGTCTATATTTCTCGTTTGTCCGTGCGGCCGTGCTATTACTTTGTATAAATAAAACTCCGGAAACATACAACGTTTCTTCAATGGAAAAACATCTCCGCGTTATTTTTCTACGGGAAAAGGTATGACATTTATGGCCCACATTAGAAGGGAAGACTGAACGCAGATAGGACAGGTCGACCAAAAATCTTGCAAGGGAGGAATGAGCGGAAATTATCTAGGACGGCAAAAAAAAAAGGATCCGCTAACAAAATTCCAACAAATCTTCATTCGTCTGCAAGAATGGTGGTAAACCCGAAATATAGAAAAAAGCAGCTAAGCTTTTCGAAACAATATATTTGTAGGCCGAACTCTTTCTGGGATGACATTTTCGCGGTTAAAAAAAAACAGCCTCCATAGTATCGACGGTATTACAACTGTGGAGGAGAGCTAATGAAGAGTTCCTCGAAATACTCGAGTATAAAGCATAACATGGTATAATATTGAGTTGTCCGGAAAATAATGCAGGTTTTCATGTTTTCTTTCAAATACCCCTACATATAATAAACTGTTTACGTTTGAAGGATTATTCTTTTGTACGAATATCAACAATTTTTAATCATCTTCCAAACAAAAACGTTTGTTTATCTCAAGTAGCAATTCGTTACTTGGGAATAATTCGGTCTTTACTGAGACGTCGACTTTCGTGATTTTCGCGTAATTTCGTTTTACAATTTTAAATTCTGTCGGAACGGTGCCCAAACGGCCAGAAACATTAATGAAGTCTGGGGCTATGGCAGTGTGAGTGAGAGCATCGTTCAGAGATGGTTTAAAAAATTTAGTGAGACAGACTTTAGCCTTGAAGATAAAGAAGGTCGTAGAAGGATTTCTTCTCTGATTGATGATGTTCTACGAGCTTTCCTCGAAGAAAATTCCAGAACAACTGTTTAAGAACTAAGAGAGAATCTTTCAGTTAGCAAATGACTTTGACCTTGGACCATCTCAAGGCAATTGGAAAGGTGTAAAGCCCGAAAGTTAGGTTCTTCATGCATTAAACGACCTCCCCCCCCAATTTTTTTTTTTTAATTCGTTAAGTAGTTTGTGCAACACTTCTTTGCCGAAACAGAACGAACCTTTTCTGGATAGTATTGTTACTTGTGATGAAAAGTGGATTCTCTACGATAACCGCAGAAATGGCTCGACAAATGATAAGCAGCACCACAATTTCCAAATCAAAAAAGGTGATGGTGACTCTTTGGTGGGCTTCATTTGTTTATTTCATTTGCTGATTTACCACATCTTGAATCTTGGCGAATCAATCAATGCCGAAATGTATTGCTCTCAAACTGAAGTAATGCACTGCAAATTGGCATTGGTGATGTGGTATTTGTTCAATCGGAAAATGCCGAATGGTACACGGCAACATGAAAACTCTTGGATCTTGGTTATGAGGTTCTGCCTCACCCTCCCTATTCTCCAGACCTCTCGACCTGTTCTCTATGCCTTACGATAAGGTCTTCCTCTCTAATATTCCACACAATATCATATTCTGTAGCTAAACATATTTTTGTTGGTTTGGCAGCAAATTTATCAAAACCATTTAGGGATGGAATGAAATTAACAAACAATTTATTACCTGGTTTTGCTCATAATAATGAATTAAAAACAAACCTAGGTTAAAAAAATTGTTAGTTAAATTTTACTAATTACTAATTTGGCTTATATTAACATAAGTATGTTGTAATTAATATAACGATAAAAAATCGTATATATATTTTGATATAAAGAACAAAAATTTCCGGGGAGAGGTTTTGTCTTTGAATGTATATGTTGCCATGGTAAATGGCATGTAATACATTATTTTGTATTAGTTTTCCGACCCGTTCCTTTATTTCCCCATGAAGATAATCAAATAGAAGTTTCATCATCCGAAAATACAAATAGTGAAGTACTGAAGTATGATGTTCGCTAGATACACTCCTTGAACCGAGTTTTTCTGCTGCAGCTTCGTTGCTGCTGACATTACTTCCTTATATTCTTCTTAACCATCCCTCAGAGCGATCCATTTCGCGTATACTACTGTGATATACACTGTACGTACATCGCATAGCGGGTGCTTGCATGGAACAGTTATGCACACCCCACCAACTTGCGACAAGGTCTTGGGTGGGTGTCTTTGGATCGCGTTGAGTCGGGTATGCCCCCTCTTAATTCGTTTCAGACTTAACCACTTTTTGACAATAGGTACAAGCTTAAAAAGAAGGTACCGTGCACTTTTATCATTTTGGTCAAAACTGAACTTAACCCATTTGTTCCCCCCACGACAACAGATTTATTCCCAGTTTGGTGTTTATTGACTTTTTTCTGGCTTTGTGTGGCAGTTTATTATTAGGTCTGTATACATCGTATCCATGAAGAGAATTGGGGAATTTTTTAATGAATTTTCAACCGATTGCACATAAGTCTTACAAGGGGACGACCAGATTGGTGTCACGGATTCGGACCAAACTTTTTTTTTTGTGATTCTACGCCCCAAAATATCGGACACGTATCCACCACATCTTGTGAATAGACCCCGGTTTCACCAAAAAATATTGAAAATTGAAATTTTCCGTTTTTTAAAATTACTTTTATTTCGTTGTTCTACTTGCTCAAATGAATTATGAATATATCATTTTAAAGCACTTTTTTTACATTGCAATAAAGTTTATCAGTAACCAAAAAAGTCTAAAAACCAAATATTTTTCAATTAAACTAAGTCAAAATATATTGAAAATTGAAATTTTCTGTTTTTTTAAATTAATTTTATTTCGTTATTCTACTTGCTCAAATCAACTATGAATATATCATTTTAAAGCATTTTTTTTACATTACAATAAAGTTTATCAGTAACCAAAAAAGTCTAAAAACCAAATATTTTTCAATTAAACTAAGTCAAAATATATTGAAAATTGAAATTTTCCGTTTTTTAAAATTAATTTTATTTCGTTATTCTACTTGCTCAAATCAACTATGAATATATCAATTTAAAGCATTTTTTTTACATTGCAATAAAGTTTATCAGTAACCAAAAAAGTCTAAAAACCAAATATTTTTCAATTAAACTGTCATAAGATTTTTTCGTGAAACTAATGTGATTTTTCGTTTTAGCACCTCGGAGTTTTAAAAAAATGTTATTTTTGGCATATTAATTTCATTGTAGATAACATAAAAATAAAAGTTTTCTACGACGCAGAATATTCTACTTTGGTATGACAAAAATATAAATCATCAAAATACTTTTTTAAATATATTTTAACAAATATTCTATAAGCAAAGTAGGTCAGAAAATGGTCAAAACTTGTATTTGACCTCATTGTCGTGATTCTAGTGTTATAAAACCCTTAGAATACCGTCTTTAGCGGAAATCGTGTAAATTAATTTTTGAATGATAATTTTCTACCTGGCTAACATCATTCCTAGTACAAGCTCTAACATCATTTTTGTCAAAAGCTAGTAAAGCGATTTTCATCGTTGATAATTTGTTTTAAAGAAATTATTAAGGGCATTTTATAACAGTATCAAATATTAAAATCGGACTATTATTTCCATTTAAAAAACGAGATTAAATTCTGCCAAATAATTTTGATATTTTGTGTATTTTCTTATAGAAATAATCTATATATTTTAATGGTACGTACGTCATTAAAAAGCTACGTTCCTCTTCTTTTAAAGGGTCTGTTTGATATTCAAATCTTTATAGCCGCATTTGAATTATAATTAATCAGATTAAAACTTGATTGCCTAGTTTACTTTCAAAATATTTGGTTTTTAGCAATTTTTGGGTTATTGATAAACTTTGATAGCTTTTAATGTATTTTTATTGCAAGGAAAATTTCACCTTTATTAATCCACCAGTTGTCCCCTTGTTAGTGATTTTTCAACTTTTAAATTTTTAACTCTACGACAGTAAATAGATAATGCTGTTGGTTGACAGTAGTGTGACATGCTATAATTTTGTATATAATAGTTCAGAAATTAATTTTTTTACAATGATTTAGTCGATACATTGGAAGTATATTGTTGACTGTTGATCCACACATTGGTGTTTGTTGCGTGTGTACATCATACATATAGTACAACGATTTGGCTTCATTTCCAGTCGTGTTTCACCTTTGAATGAAGTTTCATTTAAAATTAACTTTATAGCAAATCTTGTCTCCTTATTCTCCTTCACTTATATAATTGATTATATAATTATAATTATAAAAATTCAATCAGTAATCACTAAAACAAATTGTTACGCTTCATATTAGGGTTCAATATCGTTGCAAGTAATATCAACCTAGGTAAGGTTTTTGAACAATTGTCATACAATTATTTTTACGATAGCATAATAATTTTCAAAATTCTGCTTTTCAGACATTGTACTGTAAGATTTTTACAATATTTGTGCGTGCGTGCTTGCGTGCGTGTGTGTAATTAATTATAGGTATTGTCCTGATGTTAGTGATATAATCAACAAAAGCTCAATTTAAAAGATACTGTTAAACCCTGCTTTTCATCCCTATTGGAATTGGTACATGGTAACATAATCCAAAGCCGTGTGTTCTTAGCATAATATTTATTATTTATTTATTTATTCTCTGAAGTATTTTATTAATCTTTCTATCTGGATTTTTTATTTTATAATAGTCCATTTTTCATGTGTAGTTTCCATTTGGTTACTCTTTTTTATTGTTCAAATTTTTTTTTAAATCCCATCTCCTGGATTTTATTTTATTTTAGATTGATTCAAACACTTTCTTGTCCTATCCCATTTTATACATACCTTTCTGTTATTTTAATATTTTGTAACTCCCTTTTATTCACCGTCTGTGTCTAAGTGGTGTAAATGAGAGGGCAATTTAGTAGCTGAAAAGTGCATTAGTGCAGGTGGTCTACTTAATGTGTTTATTTTGTTCTATTTTAAATGTATACTGTTTTCGACTGAATCAATTAATTGAAAATGTATTCAACACTTAAGTAAGATGTAAGAAACTTTATTTTAAAATTGCGTCAAATCTATATTCTCTATTAATTTGTTCAACTGTTTTTATTTAGATTGAAAAAAGAAGATAATAAAAATGTCGCTAGAAAATGCTGTATTATTTAAAGTCTACTTGGTACTGCCAGGAGAAGAAACACAAATTAGAAAATTTTCCATCGACCGAGACGTCGTCACAAATTTTTTGTATGTAAAGCAAAAGATATCTGCACTGTTCCCACTGTTGCAAAACATTGAACTAGAAATCTTTTGGACAGGTATTTTCTGAAGTGTATAACACAGTGTTTTGACATGTCATTATAAATATATTTTTAGATGATGATGACGATAACATCCAGATATGCAATGATGAAGAGCTTATGATAGCTTTAACCGAATTGCAGGGCGTGTATAAGAAAATTATAGTAAAGCCTAGTGCCTATCAGAATTTGGATTTATTCAAGAAAAAAGGTTAGTTAATATATTAATATTTCCTCTATGATGTAGTATCCCTAACGATTATACATCTTTAATATATTCCTATCATTAATTAAGGGGTATTCCAAGTCAACAAAAATAAAGATCTAAGTTTGGGATTTTTTTTTATCCTTACTAATTATTTTAATCTGCATATTCTTGCTGGGTTGGTCATTCACAGATGATCAGTAAGGCTAGACACACACGTGCAATTTTTAGTAGATAACGAACCAAACCGTTTTGAAACTGTTGTGCAACTAATAATTGCATGTGTGCCTAGCCTAGGGATCAAATTACAGGTCATTGCCTGTAGACAAGAGGAAATATGATTTTTGAGTTGTATCAGTAGTTCGGTCATTTCTGAGCTAGTCTGCCCTATCCTTGAAGGATTGTTGGTTGATGATAACAAAATGTCTGAGAGACCAAAGCAGAAAGAATAGAATCAGAATGATAAGAAACTAGCCAAATAAAATATTACATTGTTATTAAAATTAGGCAAGAATTTTCATTAAAAGTAAAATACAAGATTCCTCCAAAAGAATGGAGGTAAATTGATTTATAGTTCAGGACATAAATTAACTTTAATTTAAAGCAAAAGGTTTTTTTTCCTTTTTTAATGTATAGTTTGTCATTGCAGTAAATGAAGACCTACATGCCGGTGTAGAGTGCGATGCTTGTAACAAGAGTGTAATTGGATTCAGGTACAAATGTGTCCTTTGTCCTGATTACGATTTGTGCTCCGAATGTGAACAAAAGCAAATGCACAAAGAACATGTGATGTTCAGATTGCCTTTTCCAATCGGAATAACTCCTTTCTCAAGACACAGAATAAATAAGGAAATTAACAGGTTTGGTAAAGCTTTTGATAAGATGGCACACGGAGTGAGGAACTGGTCACACCATGGAAGAGAAAAACGTCAAACCAGACTCAGAGAATCCCTGTGTCCATTAACAGAAAACCCAACCTTCTCAGAAAATCAACAAAAAGAAGGAACAACACCTGAAGAAACGTTCAATCTCGTGTCTTTGCTTCAATCTGTTTTCAACATAGATAAAGAGACCAAATTTGGTAATGTTTTGTATGAATTTTTCTGTATTTAATTCTAAGCAGTTTTTATTAATGTAAATTTTTGATTGTAGGTGAAGAATTGTGTGATATTGCAAAAAAGATAAATATTATTATTAAGGCTTCAGAGAAGGATGCCCCCGACAAAGAGACTGAACCTACACCTACAACATTTAAGAAGACTGAACCAACTGCACCCACAACATCTGGAACTGGCAATGATCAATTGTTTAACAAAAGTGCATCTACCTCTGATATTAAAACGTCTACTGCATGTGAAATGGAAACCGAAGATGGCTGGGCATTGATCAAAAGTGAGTATTTTGTACACTAAGCTACAAAATTCTTAGAAGATGTAATTTGACTTTTTTTTTAGAAGAGTGCAAAATCGATGAGGCCCTAAAACTGATGCTTTCGATGGGATTCAGCAATGAAGGGGGATGGCTGAGAGAAATGCTTATCCAAACAGATGGAGATATTAGAAAAGTGATTGATAAGATGATGGCCATCAACATTTTCTAATTAATCTGTTGTGTTGGTTTTTTGTTTTTTACATTTCAAGCTCAAAATTTTAAGCATTGATGATTAGTGACTATCTCATTACAATTGTATTTGCTATTAAATTGTTATATATTATAATGTAGATTTGTTTAGAAAATTGTCCCATTTGCTACAAATCACGTGGGAATGGTGAAGGTATTGTTAAGTAATTAATTTCATAAATAAAGAATGATAGTTGGCCTGGTGCCCTTCTTAGTTAAATAATAAACTTGGATAAAAACAGATAAATATAGAGCAAATCAGATTTGTAACGAACTAGGTAGAATTTTTTGTTTTTTATACAAATCAAATTTATCCCATTAAAGTTTTTTTTTTCTTTATGCATTTTGTTTGTATTCTTACCTTAGTCATCTTCTTAAGTATCGTATTCATCCGTCAGATTGTAACTAAAAAAAATTCTAAGTTCATCACATGTAGAATCTTTCTGCATTTTTAACAACTTAAATTTAAAAAAAAATGGCTAGACCCCTCAAAGTTCAGACCTTGAACCTTCAGACTAACATACCACCACCTGCCTGAGGGGCCAAATATCACACGGAGAAAACTTTCATAAATTTAAAGACCTAAAAACTGGATGAGAAATATAAATTAATTATTAACGATTTATTGTTTCTTTATAACTGGCCTGTCTTAATATGAGTTAAATGGTTAATGTAAAGCAATCATTTATAAGGAATGTTGCACAATTTTATTCTGGTATGCAATTCTGATGGATCGCCAACCTAGTAAGATCCAAAGTAACATTTCCAAAAACTGGGAAGATGTAGAAAAGTGTTGACAAATCCTTTATAAATCAGTCCCAAACAAGGTGGGGTCGCTATTACATTTGGGATTATTTTAAACAGATGGGCTTTCATGGTCTTTATACAGTTGAATTGAGCCCAGTAGAGTTACTAAGTAGGTAGTCAAGGGCTGAGATGAGTTGACTAGTCGACTGATGAAGAGTGTATCTTAGCAAGAAAAGTTGAAGAGAGTAAAGGGGAGAAAAGAGAACTGATGATAAGAGCAGAGAGTGGCATTTAGGATGTGGAGGCCCCTTCTTGCACAAAGGTCACACAGTAAACTCATAACTAAAAAAAAAAAAACCAAACACAAGCACATTTCTACAGTTAGTCCAAAAAAACTCAGGAGAGTAATAGGGCTGTATAGCAGTCACTGGCATTGAGATAAGCATGATTCATTAAATGATCAACGGTGTTTTGGTGAATTTTTTTCAAATCATAAGTAAAACTATTTTAATTAATATAATTATTAATAATTTCATGCAAAAGTACTAATTGTACTAATTATTTGTTCAGTTTGATTATATTCTTGTCATGAAGTAAGGCCTTCAAGGTTGAGTCTGTGTGTTTTCTTCTATTTGATTAACAGATAATTTTAAAAAATAAATAAATAAAACTTGAAAACATAGGTACATATAAGAGAGCACAAAGAAAAGACAAAAGTACACAGAATAGTAAAACATAAATACCAAGAATAAAATGCGTGACAGTCAAACGTATGTGTAAACTAAAAGTTAATTAATTAGTACTTATATGTAATAAATTAATTATTATTTATATTATGAAGAACATTGGACAAAGAGTGACCAAGCATTTTCACCTATCAGGTGGCACCAGTTTGTAGAAAATTTAGAAAAACCGAAGATGAGATGCAGAAAGAAGCTGCTAGCCAAAATGCTAAAGGCACAAACCAGAATATTTTGAGCATAATAAATCTTCCAGGTCTCCTGAACTATACAGGGCACATTGTTGCCCATCTCTCTGATATATGCAATCGGAATTGCTGCCAAGCTCAAGAACAATCCTCAAGTTGGGTGGTTCCAAGGAGTTGTACCATATATTTTTATTATATGTTTTATTACTATTACTTTGTTTATATAGATTTAAACCCTATTTGTACCAATAAAATAAATCAAAATAAATACAAAATGTCCTCAGAGCTTAATATTATTATCTTAGTTTTAGGGCTGGCAAACTAAATTGGTCATTGCCAGCCCTCTCTCCTTAGCTTTACATTTCTTTTCTTATATTTCTTTCATGTTAATCTTGCTCTTTTATTTTATTCAAATATTTTTTTCTCCAGTTTAGATATTTTATGGTAGAACAGTAACCAACTCTCTCTTTTCTTTGACCTTTGCTAGCATCAGGGCCTTGTCAATTGTGAATAAAATAAGACAAATAACACAGAAACATGATAGTATGGTACATTCACACTACCCAATCCACCTCGACATTCCTTAGAGTAATTGGGAATAAAAACTTCCATTCACGCTAGTAAATTACATTCGTACATTCATTCACGCCCCAGAGATCATTCTAAGAATCGGTCATCATTAATGATATTTGAAGACAAGATATTGTCAGCCTTTTTCATCAAAGTGTGGTTATTTTGCCGACATTTTGACCTTTATTTGGGTCCTCTTCAGCACATATAGTGTGGTGCTATTCGTGTGGCATGGCAAAGCTTGTGACAACACTTTCACACAACACCAATATGACACCGCAAGAATAACACCACACTATACCCTGAAGATGACCTGAATAAAGGTTGAAACGTGGCAAATAAAATGAAAAAAAAAGGTGTTTTTCTAAACTACCTCATTCTTGACTGCTCTTCACGATTTCAACAAGCAATTTATTTCTATGTTCTCAAATCACATAATGTAACCAAAAATTGCAGATTGCAATAAAATATTGGAAAATATGTACATGTAAGGAGCTTAAAACCCTATTTGTATCATTAAGGAAGAAATAAATAAAAAATAAACGTAAAATCAAGTTAAAGGTGCCTGAGGAGCATTGAATTTGAATATTATGTGCTGCTTTCATACAAAGAACGAGTTTAATTTTTTTATTTTCACTTTATAATTTTATAAATGTTAAATATAATTTATAAATATATATATTTTTTTGTGTGGATAATAGTCGTATAAGTAGTGATTGGCCTTCATCATAGCAGTTCCTTTCAATGTTAATTGTTTCTCGTTCCGCTTGGGTTAAACTTCGACTTAAAGTTCGAATCTACGATATATTTATTAGCGAGGTTATAAACAAGATACTTTTATTAGTATATTTAAATCTTAATGTTTTTCCAAGTTAACGTTTTAAATAATTAAAAAACAAATACTGTACATAATCTTTTATATAATTTATAATCTAAGTGTTTCAACCTATACGTCGAGTCGCTTTGCCATGCTTTTTTAGGTACGTTCCGAGTGTTTTGTATTTCGACCGAAGGTACGTGGTTCTTCTTGAACGTTTATCTCTTTTAATTTCGACCAAATAGATGGAAAATTATCAAAAATTGCAGAAAGATGGACGTACAAGCAACCTCGTCCTCAATGGAATTGGACTTTCCCCTGACTCCTACAATGGATCCGAATTTGTCTGACCCGAACAAGAGGAGAAGGTAAGCCGGCCTGGGAGGATTTAATTATATTTCGGGTTTGATAAACGAGACAAATTGTTTTACAGCAGTTCGAGGTCGATTAAGCGAAGGAGGTTTGACGATGAGCTTGTCGAGTACAGCCTCCCGACCAAGGACTCGACGGAACCGGTCGCCAAGAAACCTCCCAGGCAGCGTACGCTCTCTCAGTCCAACCCACTCTGTAAGCATTTAAATTTTACATTACGAGTTTATTACTGTCTTTGTTGAGGTCTACATACCAAAAAACTATATTTTGGGATTGTTGAACCGGCATTGGGTCATTTGTTGGGTGCATCTACATTCGTGGCTTTTTATTTTACTCAGAAGTGTCGCACACATATGCTCACTGACTTGCAGATGCCCGTCATCAACTTTAACCTTGCCCTTTTCCATGGGAAAAGTTACGGGGCCTTATGACTTCTTCACAACAGGCCGTAGATATGACTTTTTCACCTTTTCTCTCCAGGAACTTGATTCAAAGGTGTGGTAAGAGAAAGGAGAAGGAACACAAAATAAAAATAAAACCAAATACCAAAATTTAATCAAGCAAATAGACAGTGAATGCATCCAAAATCTCCAAACCTGGGGAAACACAACCTGTTGATATCTTGGGTGCCAGGACACAAAGGAATTTTGGATAACGATAAAGCAGACACAATGGCCAGACCATACATAGGCCCTCAAACTATACTTGGGATAAAAATAAATACAGAATTCTTCCTTCATCGAATGGATCGAAATAAAATAAAAGGAGAAGTGGATAAACTCTAGGGACATTAGATGTAGTAAACTTATGCTAAAACAACTCTCAACAAGGCAAATTACTGCCGCAGTTGGAGAGGGTTAGACTCAGAGGATTGATAGGATTATTAAAGCTGCTGGCATCTGAGAAAATATTTACATAACATGGTCATATAAAAGAATGATCCCATTTGCAGATTATATAATGAGGAGGCAGAAACAGCCCCTTGAATACAAAGCAACTGCAACAATGGAGACTTAACCTAGGTAAAAAAAAAATGAAATGAACCAGCGACAGTCAATGATTCAGTGACCAAATTCTTCTGAAAAGAAGGATTGAGTCGATTGTACTGAACCAGGGAACTAGGAAAGCACAATAAGCCGGAAGGCTGCAGTGTCCGGGGAGCCCAATCCCTGCTTCCTAGTATTCCCCAACTATCCATCCATCTATCCAAATCAAACAAATAATATCTTTAAAATTTATAGTTGTGCTCAAAATTGTCCTATACCTCAGTTATAGGATTAGTTATTATATTATAATTATACCTATATTTTCCTTGCCTGATTTAACTTTTTCTCACTTTACGAGCTGTAACCTTCTTGAAGACTTATGTGCATCTGCTCTCATTTCCCCAATCCTACAGAGACCCTACTGGCTGGACGTCTTGATAATGACAATGGTTCAAATTTACACTTATTTTGCGTTTCCACATTAGCCATAGAAAAAAATTAATTTCAAAATGAACTTATTATCAAATCAACATGTGGGGAAAAACTTACTATCTGGCCCCCAGAAGGCCACCAATCCGGTCGCAGCCAGTCAGGAGGAGGAACGCGGTTACCATTTAGTTATTTTTGTTAAATGTTTGTAAGTACTTAACGTAGATGTGGAAAAGTTTACATATCTCTATACCCCTGAGCGAAACTTGCTCTGGAGGCCCCTCTCTCCCCCAACAAGAAGGCAATAGCCAGGTCGCCCACCTCCAAGCACCTATCCGGAGACTCTCTCACTCTAAGATACACTATCTAAATAGAAACAAAAGTTAATAATCATGTAAATAAATAACAATAATAATTTAGAATTATTATCTCACACTTGTACATAATTTTTATTAAACATTGGTATATTTCTTTATTTTTTGAGGCCAGCAATATTTTATAATTGAAAGGCATTTTGATTCTCTTCATTGCCTACATTATTCCAAACCATCTGTCCCTTTGAACCATATTCATTTTTTTAAACCATTTTCACATGTTCAAGATCATCTCATTTATGGGATGTTTTTAATATGAGTTGTAATTTGTGAGATCATGAAGAAATTTTTGAATTTGCTATTTTTAGTGATTTGTACAATAGACCAATATTGTTTGAGTTGTTTGAGGTATGAAAGGTCATAAAAGGTATTTTTAACCTTTTAACCTTACAGTGATGGATGTGGTCCAGCTTGAGTCATTACTCATGTAAAGCACTGCCTTTTTTTTTTGCTCTTAACAATTTTTCTTAAACTTCGTTTAATTTCACTTGTAATTCGGTTTTCTCCGTTCAGCCGAGTTTACCTCACACAAGAAGCCTTAACAGCCAACTTCCTAGTGTCCCAGATGAGGTATCAGAAAAAAAAGTTGAGGGGTTCTAGTGAGAGTCAAACCTAGGAAAAACTGCTGGCTGAGCCAAACCCAGTCATACTCTGTGGTTCCCCCATCCTGATCTTTCCTAACTTGGTCTATCAGATGCATTTTGACATTTCATAACATTAACATAACATAGGTAGATTTCCACATTTCTTATTTTGTTCTTTGAATCTTTGAACATGGCAAAATATATAAACAGGTAGATTGGATTATTACTGTTGGCTTTGTACAGAAATTTTGTCGGTAATAAAAAGTTTTGGATTTCTTAGTTGAAACTGCAAGCACGAGTGTCGTGAGCAACTCGCCCATCGACAAAAGAAAATTGTTGCCCAAAACAGGCTCGAAAAAGTCGAAAAAGAGCAAATTGCCGATACATTCCTCAACCAAAGACTTAGGCAGGTGGAAACCCACTGATGACCTAGCTTTAATCACTGCTGTCATTCAGGTAAATGTCTCATACCTGGTTAGATGTGTGCATTTATATTCATAAATTAAATTTTTGTCTAGTCAAACGATCTTAATATCGTCCATCGTGGGATTAAATTTTCTTGCAAGTTCACACTCCAGGAAATTCAACACAGATGGTATGCACTTTTGTATGAGCCGACGATATCTAAACTGGCCGTTCAAGCTATGAGGAACCTGCACCCGGATGTAATAGCAAACATTGAGAGTAAAACATTATACAGCAAGGACGAACAACAGTTACTCGCTGCTGTGAAATCTGTAAGTGTTCATCGTTCATGTTTCTTTCGGATTTTTGATTCAGGCATTGTTTTTTAGTCTCCAGCGCCGACAATAACTACCTTTGAGGAGCTGTTGAACAAAAATAGTCTCGTGTTCCACAGGGCTCGCACGGCCAAGGGGCTCCTGAGCCAATGGCACATTATGAAACAGTACCATTTACTTGATGAGCAGACAGTGCCAAAAGCAATGGGCGAGAACAAAGCGACTGTGCCTTTTTCAGAACTTGAAGAAAATATGAACGATATGGAACTGACAGGGAAAACGGATGAAGTCCTTGAGGAGGAACTGTCTATGGCTGACAGGTATTTTTTGGTGTAATATAATTGGTTTTTTACTATTTTGATATTATATAACATACATTTTTTACAACTTATAGGAGAGAAAAGAAAGAAATTCGGACACTTGAAGCTGAAGTTATGAGATGGCAGGTTTTAGTCGACACTGTATCAGGCATAACACCACAAGAATTTGACAACCATACGCTTGCTGTTCTTAAAGGGCGGCTCGTTAGATATCTAATGAGATCTAGACAGGTAAAACCATTTAGAAAAATAAATCTGTAGCATTTTCTAATGCTCAATTCAATGGAAATTTCATGTACTTGTAAACAAATTTACTCAATTAATATGATCCATTTTTAAAATATTCTTTTAAATGTTCCAATTGAGTGCCGTATCACTAGAATTAACGATTTTGGTTCTCTCTGGTATGAAGATCATAAAGCCCTCTTTCAAACATCACCTTTAGGGGATTTTAATGCAAAACAGTGCATTTCTCCAGGAGTTTTCTCTCTGTTGTAAACATTCTCGTGAAGAAATGTGTGGTGATTAGTGACCGTTATGGGGTCACCAATGTCAATGAAACTTTTTTTTTTAAGTCGATACTAAGTTGAAAAACATTAGTAATTTATGAACAGTGTGATTTGGGATAACAAAAGTCACTGTGACAGATGTGATTATCTTGGGTATCGAAGTGAGGTGCATCATTTAAATAAAAAATAAATAAATAAATAAAAATAAAAAATATAGAAAAAATAATAAAAACCAACCACTTGGTTTTTACATGAAAAGATGGCCAACTTTAGAAATTCATATTTTCTCAGTCTTTTCGGTTAGAAAATTTTCCACTGATCAAGATGACTGTTTTTAAATGTTTCCCTAACTTTGGTCAATTTATAAAAAATGAGATCTAGCGCATGTATATGACTTAAATGGCTGAGAAAAATGCATTTTCAAAGTTGGCCATTTTTCATGCAAAAACCAGATGATCTTTTTTATTACTTATTATTTATGATTTTTCTTTTGTACGAATATCATAAATTTTTAATCATTTTACAAACAAAAATGTTTACCTCAGTAGCATTTTGTAACTTCGGAATAATTCAGCCTTTACTAAGATGACAACGTGTGGTTTTCGCATAATTTTGTTTTACAAGTTTAAACTCAGTCGGAACATTGCCCAAACAGCCAGAAACGCTATGAAGTCTGGGACGATGGCAGTGTGAGTGAGAGCACCTGTCAGAGATGGTTTGAAAAATTACAAGAGGGAGACTTTAGCCTTGAAAACAAATAAGGTCATGGAAGGAAATCATCATTATGAAGTTTGTATAACTCTTCTATGCCAAAATAAAAATGAAGTTTTGCTGGAAAGAATTGAAAAAAAAAAAAAAAAAAAACGGCGGAGCTTTTGTATATTGGGTTGTTTATGTTTAAGCTGCACTACATTTTCCAAAGCCCCCAACTTATTAAAAAAAGGTGATGTTGACTGTTTGAGGGGCATTATTTGAGCTGATTTACTACAGTTTCTTGAATCCTGACGAATCAATCAATGCCAAAATGTATTACTCTCAAATTGAACCACATAAAAACTCTTAGATCTTGGTGAGGTTCTGTTGCACTCCACTTTATTCTCCAGACCTCTTGCCACCGATTACCTTTTTTTCAGAGACCTTGACAACATTTTACAACAAAAAATTTATTGCACTCTTTAAAATTTTATTCAGATTGATTAAGGGAGCTTTGTGAATGCAAATTTTGGTCATTTTTACTCCTAAAATACATTTTTTTCCTGGCTCTTGGGTGTCCGTATTTATACCATATTTTTTGACGCTAGTATCACTAAAAAAAGTTTTGATGAAATCGGTGACCCCATGACCATAACCCCTTCATCTCACTCATCATTTAAGGAATATATCGGCTCTAATAAACATATCTGGAGGGGCGTCGGTGGCCGCAAGGTTTAGGCGTTGACACGGCGCTCATCACTGTAAGGTAAAAGTCCCGGGTTCGAATCCAGCGGCCCTGCATTCGACCTCGACATACTTACAAATGGGATTTTTTTCGAAAACACCGACACCCAGAGGGTTTATATGACCTCTGCTGTTGCGAACCCTCGTAAAAAAAAAAATAATAATAAAAAAAATAAACATATCTGGCCATTCTGAGATGTCTTGAAATGATTGTGTAATATATGTTAAGTGTCTGAGATCTTGCATTTCATTGAATGTGGGTTATTTGCGACAAAAGTTGAATTTGGCCACAATTAGAAGGATGACAGAGTGCTTTGTGTCTTCCAAATCAAAATTTACGCTTCAGAACCAAGCAAACCACTTATAGACAGTATTTTTCCTAAACCATCATCATACGCATAACCGATTTAATTAGCAGTCTGAGCTGTGATTTTCAATTTGTGTTAATAAAAATAAATAAATATCAAAAATGCACTATTTTTTTCCATTTTAAATTAACAAAACATCTTGTACAAATATGAAATGCTGAACAAAACTTGATTAATAAAACCTTTGTAACTAATCCATTTTGAAAGGGAGTAAATGATAAATAATGACTAAATAAACATTTCTTCACAGTTCTGACAGAGATAAAATTGAATTATTAAAAAACACTAGACTTATTTTACAAGGTAATATTCCTTATTTAATTGGAAAATGTTTAGATCACCATCGGAAGATGTGCCAAAGATTATAGTGTGGATGTCGATCTAACATTGGAAGGGCCAGCAACCAAGGTGTCGAGACAGCAGGGGACCATTAGGCTTCGGAACAACGGCGACTTTTTTATAATGAATGAAGGAAAACGGCCTATTTATGTTGACGGGAGACCTATCTTAGCTGGGAACAAATACAGGCTAAATGACAATTCTGTAGTAGAGGTAGTTTTATTTTATATAAAAAAAAAAAAAAAGATAAAAAGTAATCTATAATTTGTCTCATTATTTCAGATTGCCGGTTTGAGATTTGTATTCCTGATAAACATGGAACTCATATCAGTGATAAGGCAGGAGGCGGCAAAAATGAACATCGCCTCTTAATCAGCCTCAGTTTTATAGCGAAATGTGTTTTAGGATAAAATAAATGTATAACACGCCAAATTCAAATAAATACTATTACTATATTTTATTACTCTTCTGAAGAGGTCAAAATTTTTGTTTTTTTAGATATTAATAACGAGACTGCCCAGTTAGTATTAAATAACATAATGTATCACTAATTGTTTACCTCATAAGTTGTGATTTGAAATATTTTTTGTATGTATTTAATAGGTGTATGTGTTCAAAAGGAAAAATAAAATTAAAATTACTTAATCGGTAAACACTGAAATTGAAATGTTTTTCACATGCTCTGCTTTCATTTTTGTAATATAATTTATGCAAAGAATTATAGTAATACTTTGTATAAATTGTCACTCTTCTATTCAGTTTTCCTAATTCCTTTTTTTTTCTATTAGTAAATATTTTTATGTAATTCTCACATATTTACAAGTTATTATGCAGGATGTTGGAATCCATCTTCTGTTTCAGCATAAAAAAAATGTATGGGTATGCATTTAGTTTATGGTTTATTTATTGATTGGACAGTCATAATTTCTGGCCCTCTATGTAAAAATTCTCTTTCTTTTCGATTTGATTTTTTGAAATTTCACCTTGGATATATATAGATTAATAAAATAGCCCATTTTATTTTATTTTGTATTTTTCAAATATTTTCATCAGTAGGATGAAAAACTGTGATCAGGGTTAGCTTTGTTATGTTTTTCAAATAAGTGTTGCAAATTACAAGGCAAGAGGAATTTGAGTAATTATACAGTGGCCAGATGTAATCGGACCCCGAAACAATCTCAATCATAGGTCTGTAATGACAAAGAGAGAGGCGATTAGTTTTTAAAAATAATAAAGTTAATTGGAGAGACATGAGAAAATTTGGAAGTATGCCAAGTGGCTTCTCAAGCTCAATCTGGCTCAAGCCATTTGATTAATTGGCTCCCCTTTACAGAAGAAAGCTACTGGGAGGCCCCAAATCATGGGTCAAAAATTCATGTTCTTATATGAAATATAGTGAAAGGCCCTATCAACCTGGGTCCGGAAAGCCTTCAGTACAGAGCTAGTGAAAAAAACACGTTTTCTGATGTTATTTGTGAAATAGTAAGTAAACAGCTACTACCACCATAAAACAACATTCAAAGTGCATTTATTTCATTACGTCAAATGATACTAAAACCAGCATGATTGGTTGAGAATTATAATTTTTAATTCACTACTTTCGTGGTCCGCTTGACCAATTAATACATGACAATTAATTAAGGTTTTTAGTTGAGATGAAAAAAAGCTAATGGCATGAGAGGGATTCGAACCCACGATCTTCGGCTTGATACGCCGCTGCTCTACCACCTGAGCTATCGTGACCTCGATCCACTCGGACATCAACTCCCCATCTCAAACTCTCCTTATTTTGTATCATACTTCACCCTACACCCCTTTGTTCCAGAACTAGTGAAATGCTATTACAAACCATTACATCAACCCCTTTGCACAACTCTAATGCCTTGGTCCATCAGCTCAGTTTTACTACCATCCCAGATAATCCTCCCTGTCAGCTCAAATGCCGATGGCCACGCGCTGCCTTACATATTGTCAAGGAAAATTGAAAAGTGGTCATTATTTATTTATTCTAAAGGAGGCTCATAACTGGGTTTTTCCTCGCATGTTTTTCATGTCAATTTTATTCTTATAGCATTTTTACCATTGTAATTGTTTTATAGATGTAAAAATCAATAAAAAGAAAAAATATAAGACAATAGGATTTGTTAAATGAATAAATATTTCCTAGTTTTTTAAAATAATATTATCTAAAACTGCAAAAACGTTATTTAAATTTGATTTTGTATCTTTTTTTTCTTTTTTTTAAAGTATACAACCTCATGAAAAAATTACTTGATTCTACATGGGGTAAGGGGAATGGGATGAGTAAAGAGAAGGACATAGACAGGAAGCCCTCAACTCCCCGAACTCAAAGCCATCTCACCTACTCTTACAAGTCAGAATTTATATATCAATCCAGTTTCGGTAAGGTGCTCTGTTTTCTGATGTTTGATGAGGAATCCTCCAAAATTTCAGTCACATCAAGCCTATGTTTGACCACCTTAGATCTTCATAGTTTCTACATGATGTCAGAATATATATATATATATAAAATATTTACTTATTAAGTTATTTATAAATCAAACTTATTTGTACCATAACTTTTTAAAGTAATGTCAATTTATTTACTGACATATCTTTCATATTTATTGTTGATTGGTATTTCAGTGCAAACTCAATAAGTGCTTCAGTTAGCAAAAACGACAATTTCATACCTTGGAAACAGAATAATAAAACATAATTTATTCACCTGAAAACTCTCGTTCTTCTACATTTGCTTTGTACTAAATCTTTTATTTATCAGCCTATTAAGGTGTTTATCTGTTACTTACTAATTTTTGAACTTGTTAAATTAATTTATTGTTAACTAATTAATTTATTAACGTGTTAAGCAATTAATCAATTTATATATTTACTTATTAACTTATTTATAAATCTAACTTATTTGCAAAAAGTCTTAGTAACTTACAATATTATTTAAAAATTATTTTAGTTGTGCTGTTCATACTACTAAAAACTAACATATAAATTACTTCAAAATTTATTTATTTATACTACTAAAAAGTAACTTAAAAACTTACTTAAAAACTGGCTTATTTGTATGATAACTTGTTAAAGTAATATCAATTTATTTACTAACATTTACTATTGATATTTGGTATCATTACTAAATAGTACTTAGTTTTGTATGGTACCGTGAGAATTTTGTTATTAACTTATTAATTTATTAACTCATTAAATTGTTAAATAATTGAATTGTTAACTAACTAATTTATTAACGTATTTAAAAATTAATCAATTTATATATTTAATTATTAAGTTATTTAAAATCTAACATATTTGTAAAAAAATATTACTAACTTATAAGATTATTTAAAAGCTAACATATTTATACTATTTGTATTATTTATACTACTAAAAAGTAACTTATAAAATTACTTAAAACTAATTTACTTGTATGATAACTTGTAACTAATATCAATTTATTTACTAACATACTACTAACTAAGATATTTGTCGTATCTAGTGGTAGTTGGTTTCTATCCTTACTAAATGTTACCGTGAGAATTTCGTTATTAATTTATTAAGTAGTTAAATTATTGAATTATGATGTCAGAACATGCTTGATGAAGATCACTTTGTCCTAATCCTAGCCAATACAGTTTACTCCTGCTGTGATTTTGCATCGCCTTACCCCATTGTTTGGCATCCATAATGTATAAAACATTTTGTATAAAGAACTCAGAAGTAATTGATTATGAAATCATCAGTAAGTAATGAGTTCAAAATCATGTGACCTATATTTACGAACACATTGGAAATTTCATTGGCTTTTGTCCATTTGGAATCTATTTTTGCCATTTTCGGAAAACAAAATGGCAAAAGCGTTTGTATCGCTTTCGAATAATCGTATAATCAAGCATCCCCTTTATTTTTTTTTTCATAGTCAAACTGACCAAAATTTGGTTTGAAAACAGCCGGACAATTTTCTGTCCGTCGAAGGAAGGAAGCTTGATAAAATTGCGACTCCCGTCTCAATCGGTGAGAATTTGAGCGCTACTACTGGGAAATTGTCGGCCTCGTCTAGCAGCAGCTCGAAAATAGATCTAGATTCTATTTCCCGACGTTGCCGTGGGTGAGTTTATTCGCCGGCTCCCGAGAGCTGGACCGGATTTAGAGCTGCTTCATCTCCCGACCCACTCGACGACCCAAACCCACCAAAGTCTCCGACCGAATTTTAATAATTTGCCGTTTTATACTCCATTCTCCTAGTCCTATAAGCCTATAGAATAACAATCAATAAAAAACGGGTTAAATGGAAGTGATCAAATTTGTTCTAGGGTCAGACTACTCCGTACTAAAAATATTCAAGACAAAACTGATATTTCGTTTGTTCCATAAATTATTTTGCGACTTGGAAAATATTGCCGTTGTAGCAGGGTATTTGAAATAAAGGTCATTAGTTTTTTCCGGTGTAATCCAAACCATTCAAATTTAAATAGTCTTCTTTATAAACAGGGTAAAACATGGCCCTAAAATTTCTCATTAAGTACATTTTAATAATGGGTTCATCAAACTTTTACGAATATTCAGTCATCAAATCATCACTACTGTGTTCTCCACTGTCTTACCTACCAAAATTAGGCTCCTAGGCCATCGTCAACTGGGTCATTTCAGCGCAACGCATGCGAGTTACAATCTAAACGTGTCAGCCGCACACTTCCGTTTACTATTTGTGTTATCCCCCTATCGTACTACACGTTCGCTACTTGTACGACAAAGTTCGTCAGGTGCTTCCACACCTCAAAGGAAACAAAAAGGTTCGAATGAACCATAGTCCTATTCACAAACAATTCGCAGATATTCAACATTTTATGTTTTTTCAACAAAACAGCTCAAATATGATTAGGAATATTTGCAATTCATTCTTATTCTATTAATTTTAATTAAATTAACCGATATATACTTGTTAGTTGGATAAAAGAAGATAGAAAATAAAACCAAAAACAAACAAATGTTAATCTTCATTTTTAATAACGGTTTTATTTAAGAATAGTAAGCATGAAGATTACTCGTTTTATAAACAAATACCTTTTCTCATCTTTTCTCCATTCTAATCCAGTTGTATTCTTTTTAAGCATGGAAAGACTTCATCTTGAACCAGAAGTTCCTCGACATTATTGTGACAATGAGTCATCGAGGCTACCGGCAAGTGGATATCGCGGAGTCAGTTGGCGTTTCTCAGACCGTGGTCTCCGGGCTTTAGATTCCGAGAGACTGGAAGTTTCAATAGAAAGCCTGGTAGTGGATGTCAGCGCATTACGACGCTAAAGGAGGACAGAAATATTGTCATTATTGCGAGACGGAACTATTTCCATAGTGCTAGATGTTTTGGCAAGGCCTTTATTAACACTTTTTGTGGGAAGTTGGCCCTTGCATCGTATGCCCCTTTGAGACGACCTGCAGCAACAGCCCGCCACCACAAACTCAGGAG